TCAAAAAGGAAATTTTTATTTTATATTCCTTTGAATCCTCCTCATTGCACTGACCTTCATTAACTTTCTTCATTTATAAACTCTGCATAAAAAGTGTTGTATGATTGTTGTCTTGCAGAAGGATCCCTTATTCCAGCAGTTTGTTATCCTCGTGTCTGTAGAGGGTTTAGAAAACAAATACAATCTGGAGCTGAGTAGAGGTTAGTGTGTTTGTGTGTCTGTGTTAATAATTCGTGTTGTGGAAGTACTCCGCACTTGTTGTTAGGGGTGGGTTTTGATGATCGAGTTTCTAATTAAAATCGATTCTAGCTTGAATGACGCCATATTATCAGATTCATTAAAATCCTGAATTGATTTTTAAATATAAATTTATTTTGCCCAAAACGCCAGAATCTCAGATTAAACCTCACAAAATTTCAACAACCACTAAACAGCTAAAACAGCAAACCAGAGCGGGTACACGGATTCTGCACAAAGACGTAAACACAAAGCGCCGACCGCCGACGCATCAGAATCGGTGAGATGTCGCCTTTCTCACCTGACGACACGAACACGGTCGGGCTGAAAGCCGACAGCACGCTGATGTTGGTGTTTCGGTGGGTCCATGCTGTGTGTTTACGTCTTTTTTGCGTTCGATTCTGAAGCTGCAGGTTTTCTCTCTCCAAACAATATTGACTGAACCAGCAGCAAAATAAGATCCAAACTAAACTTCACACAAACATCGTCATGAACTCACTCTGACTTTTGCTGTTTTGCTTCCACCACGATAAAATCACACTTCATGCACAGCTCTCTCTCTCTCATGAACAGTTTCCCATCTAAAAATCAGTTTTCTGCATTATTCGCTTGCAGAATTCATAGCACGGCCCAGCCAGTTCCAGTTTCCAACAATGGCGGCAGCGACTTAGTTTTAATATTACTCTTATTTCTCTTTGTGGGTCGCAAAAAAACTTTAAACATATTTTCAGGTGAGACTGTAGCTGTGTAAACTTCAAATATCTGAGCCGACCGACACATCGTCTTCAAACCCCCGCGGTCTTTTGCTACTCGGGTAAACATGATATATAAGTCACTTTGATAACTTAAAAATGTTATTGTTCGGCTTTTTCAGTGTTTTATTTGTTCGTGAGTAAATCGGTTTGGCTGAGATTAAAGTTATTAGATTAGATTAAATTAAATTTTCCCTGGGGAGGGTTCCTCCGGGGTTTTCACACAGCTGAATAAACGTCAAACAATAATTAAACAGAAGAGTTTACGTCAGTGCCCGGTTATATATTAGATAGCGAGGAGCGGCAGAGTTTCACTCCACCGAGGGAGCTCGTGACGTGCTACCCTACTACTTTCTTTAGACCACCAAGGCCGGGTCCTCAGGTGGAAGCAGCCTCTGAATTTGGACACCCCCGCTGTTTCCGGGCCGGCCAATAATAACGGTGACATTTAACATATTTTATCCGATCAATAAACCCTGTAAAATGTATTTATCACCCCCAAACAGCCCTTTTGAATGTCTCCCTAGTACGGCACAACACCTCACTCTTGGAGCACTTTTTGCTACATGTATCGCAAACCACGTCTCAGCTGTTTGTGGAGGTAAAATAAGTCCGCACAATTACGCTCAGCCATTGTTGTGAGTGCGCACGCCAAGGGGCTGCGAGACATTTATACAGCCGTATTTCGCACATGACTATAAAAGGCAGAAGAGGAAGTAGTTCCTTCGAATGTAGACAATCCGAATGTTATAGTTTCTTTCCACTGTGTTCCTGTTAATGAAACTACAAATTTACTCCAAATTACTAAAATATCGATATTTTAATGTGAGAATCGATTCTAGAACATAAATGATTGGTATCGGAGGAATCGATATTTCAGGATCGATCCGCACATCACTACTTATTACCCACTAGTCTACCGTTGTTCACAGCGCTGTCGGCCGCTGTGTTTTTTACTTACTTCTGACAAGAAATCCTCATTTCTGCTGTTTAATCAGCTACTAAATAGATTTAAACTTTTTCAAATGATGCAAAATTGCAAAATGCTTAACTGTGTCTCTAATAAAACCTCTGTAACTTTGCTCTGCGTCACTTCAGCAGCATCAGGTAATGTTCACATGCTGATTCATGGTTTTCTTCTGTTTTTGATCTACTGCAGAATATTTTTAAGGTTATCTGCTATAAAATCCCAGGCCAGGAAAATCTCCTTCACGTTTTTCTGTGTTTTATCCTCAGTTACTTTAACACAAAAGCATCTGCTGTGATGCTCACACCTTTGAAAAACTCTCACAAGTGTCAGCTTTCTTTTTATAGATATAAAAATATGGAAATGTACTGATGCATGATAAGAATTATAATATTTCTGACTGTCTGAGGCAAAATTTCCGCGATTGGAATCGAATCAGGACCTTGTGAATCGGAATCGAATCGATTCTAGAAATCAGTGACGATACCCAGCCCTACTTGTTGTGTGTTTTTGCAGAGTGGAAGGTCCTGAGAAACAGAAGGTTTTTGGGTTCTGTCAGTGAGCAGAATATCCGCACAAAGAGCAGGCCGGTCATTGAAGAGCTGCAGCCTCCGTATGTACCCCCGCTGTGCTTAGCAGAAAACACACTGACACAC